AATCAAATTATTGATAGCCCCACTATTACTTGTTTCTCCTAAATTTTCAAACACATAGTCACTATTTTTATGCTGATTTTCCAGATTCTTAACCCATTCATACTCAAAAATTTTATCTTCTTCTGATCCATCTCTGGCTACAGAAATACCACAGCACTTAAAAGCTCGTACAATAAGTGCAAAATCAACTTGGTCCCATGTAGTTTTTACCTAATTAGCTACCTGACTATATGAAGGACGTTGAATATGGCTCGCAGGAGTTAAGTTTAAAATTTCATTTGCTATCTATTCATTATAACACTTGCAATACTAAGTAATAAAATTAATTTATTAAAATTTTTTTATAATTATAATTATTAAATAAATATCTCATTCTTATATCAATTAGTGTTTCGATCTATAATCTAAGATCTGAATTAATCTTTAAATCTAGATAAATTCAGCTATTCCAAATCAGAGATATCTACTCAGATTAGTCAAAGAACTTAAATAATAGACCTAAAGATGTGCTCAAAAGTTAGCTTTATATATAATCTGAGACAGATTTAATTCAGATTTAATATAATCCAAATAGTCTATCAGAAATAGAATCGAAACACTAATATCAATAAATAAATAAAGTACACTAACTAGCATTCTTTTTTATAAGAGTAAAAAAAAAAAAAAAAAACCTTATCCTTGAAAGATTTATTGATATAAACATCTAGTGGTTGTAATTTGCTAGTTAATCCACCTGGAATTATGGCCATATTAGTATTTTTCTCACTAAATCAAGCTTTAACTTCATCTGTAAGGTGGCCTAAGAACGAATCTAAAACCAACAGTGAACGAGGATCAACAAACAAGAGCGATCGTTTATTCCAAACATTTTCAATCTACCAAAGCATCTCATTTGAATTCATATATCCTTCACAATTGGTTCGAATAATAACACCAGGTAGAAATTTTTGTCATGGTACATTTACTAATTTGAAGATTATTATAGGTGACAATTTTTTTCCATCAGCCATACAACTAAGTACAACTGTGAAGTTAGACTTTTCATATCCTGTTGTACGAATTCGATCGTTTTGGTACCAGTTTTATCAATAGTATAATTTGATGGTATATCAAAAGACAATGGAGTTTCATCCATATTGCCTATTAATGCAAGAGGATAATCATGCTGTATACGTCTATATTGCACAAAATTTAAAAATTCATTTCTTTGTTGTTCAAGATCAGCTAGTAATTTTTGTGAAACAGTAGTTCGACGACAATTGCTTAGTTGATGATGGTTCATAAATCCATCTAACTACTTATTACTCTATTTGCATTTATGAATATTTGGATAAAGTGAAATATAGTGTATTTGTTTAGCTAGTTGTTGAGCCTTAGTTCTGACCATATATCGAGATACTACCTTTTGTTTTACATGTAAAGATTTTATC